ATATATATATATATATATATATTTTTTTTTTTTTTTTTTTTTGCTGAACATGTACTTGCACTGAATTTTCAAATTGGTTTTGCATTTCACATAAATTTTACGTGAAATAAAAAAATATAAGTGGAGTAAAATAAATATAAAGACGTAAGTTTCCCGAACTAATGTGTCTGTGTTACGTACATAATACAAATACAAATGATCGTTAAATATTCAAAACGATACTCAGGGTAAAAAATATAAGTGGACAAATTTTTTTTTTTTGCTTGAAATGTTATAAGCGATAAATGTTGCAAACTATGGAAACTATACCACGTTACGTAGTAAATATAGATTCTTCGATGGTAGTACACTTGCGTACAATACATCTATGAGACTTGTGGGCAGTGTAACATTTTCTACGTGAAGTTCAAGGAGAAAAGAGAAACAATTGTAGTTCGCACGGGTTAAACCATTCGTGAGTCATGTAATCGTTTCGAATCCATGCCTATCGTATTTTATTATTATTCGAATCTTTCATCTTTTTTTCTCGTAATTCTCGTAATTATCGTAAATACAGGTTTGATTTGTGCGTTATTTTGATAATTACGAAATTATATGCAATCAGGGATTACGTATAAACGGTGTTGATTTTTAGACATGCGATTAAAATTCTAGAAAACTGAATGATAATCTTAGCGAATTTTACCAATCGATTCAAAAACAATTAACTTTTGGATTCGAATTTCGGTCGAGCAGCTCGATAAGTCGTTGTATCACGATTCGCTAACGACTAAACTAACGAATCTTTTAATTTTTAATAAATAAATCAGTCAGTTTTTCGGTCGCCGCATCTCGAATATATATGCTTCGAAACGCACACACTTCGAACTTGCAATATTAAAATGAAATATACGTAAAGAGGTAAAGAGGAAGAAATTTAATTACCATAAGCATAGAAGAAGAAGGTCGAATAAATTAAATTATTAAACAAGAGAAATATTTCGTTACACACGTCAGAAATTGCACGTATAC